TTGCTGCACAGATATATCATCCATTTTAAAAGAAGAATTGCCTCTAATGCGTCTAAAATACCTATATTAGCACCCTAATTTTGCTTTTTTTATTCTCATCTAAGACCTCTCAAAATAATAACCTGTCATCAATAAATAAACAATACAACGTTAACAATTTGCGAAGATTTAAACGGCCATAGCGAAATGGCTAAAGAGCTAACTTGCGATCAAGTCTTTATGAATTCGAACCACACCCAATACACGCGTACGTGAACTCATAACACAAATATTTTATCATAGCGGAAGGGACTAAAAAAATACTGTCCAATTTAACAAAACCACAGATAAAAAAACAAAAACAACATGTTCCTTTTTAAACTAAGTAAAAAAATCAAATGACGTTTGCGAATTAAAGTTGCCATAGAAAACACTCACTCAAGCTGGGTATTTTTAAAAATTATTTTCTTTAAGGTACTTTTAAACTGATTTTATTTTGTTCTTGTTCATTCATATAATATACCAAAACTAGTGTAAAAACATTAAGATGAACTACAAACAGAGTGTTTAACTCGTATCACGTATGTTGCCAAATTTAGATCATTTATATATTACTCACTCTATTCCACAACATCAAACGCCGTTTGAAGTCTGTTTGAGATCGAATAGTTTAATACAAATGACCGTACGTTGGTGGTGACGTCAGTTTTGGAGATAAACTTTCTATTCATCTGCGACTTCTGAATTCTTCTTGGAGTATTATTTAGTTGGACTCGTTACTCATTCTCAATTACTTTGGAACATATTGTGTAAGATAATAATTGCAATAGGTACTTACCCGGCAAAATTAAACCTCGTTACAGAAAACTGCATTAAATGTGTTACTGTTGTGTGTGTGTGTGTGTGTGTGTGTTCTAGTAATGAGTGTGACTACCTGTTTGACAGAGTTACCAGAGAGAGATGTTTTTACTACTACATTTATGTTACTACTACATGAGGTAGGATAGGTAGGATAATGTATGCGGTATAAGTTTTTAGCTTTGGCTTAAACTGCGCAAGGGAATATTACCTTTGTCTCGATGAAAGGTGGCTTTTCGTGCCTGTATCCTGTGATGTTAAAGAAACAAATGAAATTGATATTATTTATATTTTCCTATTATTAGTAAGGTATTAGTAACACTAATAATATCAAATAAACGCACAATGTTTCATATCTAACAGTAAGATAATAAGTTCTCGGGAAATACATCAATCTTGTTTAAACACAGTATATTATGTGGTTGTGATATCGGTGGTTGATAGGTCATTAACATTGAGTATTGTTATTTATTATTAACATTGGTGTCGTGTTAGTCGATATTTAAGTTGATAAATTGTTAGTTGATTCTTTCTTATTACTTCATGCTAACTATAGAGTGTGACTACTTAAACTAGATGTGTGTAATAAAGTACTAAAATTTAACAAAATCATAATATGTGAGTGGTGTACATTTGGTTTGAAGGGAATACGCGTAATCTGCCGCTTGGGTATTTATTAGACTTGCAACGAATAGTATATTCGGCAGTATACCGAATACCGAATATTCGGCGAGGCCCCTGACCGAATAGCCGAATATTAGGCAAAAGTATTCGGCTGGATTTTAGCGCCAAAAACTTGTACAGACGTGAATTAAATTATGTACCTGTTTTATGTACCAATGACTACTTAATAAATAATTATAAAAGAAATGAGAACCTTACCCTTCTAAATTTTGATTACCACAATAATTCAAATACATAGAATCCTCAGTTTTTCCAATTCAGAAGATGATTATGTACCTGTGTTATGCACCAATGACTACTTAAATGATTATAACAGAAATGAAAATATGAATATATACGTAATCAATCGATTTTAATTTTTCATTTTACCAATTATTTCTCAATGTCAAAATATATTATTTAAGTATTCGGTATTCGGCCGAATAATATGTAGATATCCGGTATTCGGCCGAATATAATAAAAGCAGCCGAATAGGCCGAATACCGAATAGTAACCGAATATTCGTTGCAAGTCTAGTATTTATTGATTTGTCACACATGTTGTTCAAACATGTTTAGATAACTGCTTAATAGATTTATACTGTGGATTTGTTTTTAATATATGACACTATTAATCACAAGGAACAAGGTTGAGATCATATTAATATGATTCAATTAATTATTATCAAATTTTACAATTCTTGAAGACGATTATTCTAATTGGATTACGTTAGCTATTAACTATACGGGGTACATGTCTATTCTAAGTTACGAGCTTTAATTGTTTTTTTCAATGATGACCAGTTGCCCTGCTCTATATTTGCTATGGCAACCCAATCAAAAAATGCACTGCCTAGTTCTGTTTTTCAAACAGATTTCGATCTTCTAATGTCAAATTTACAAGGTAAACAAACCTGTAATACTATAGTTGTTTTTACATACAACGCAATGGCAAGTAAGTGGCCAGACCGCGTGGCGTTTAGTCACGCATGCGGCTTGTCAGCTCTGTATGTTGTTATTCCATTCATGTTGCTCCTACATAGTATTACATAAATACTGCTAGCGACTTGTTTAGTTTTATCTTTGAAACGCTGGGTAGGGCGAGCCTTGGAGCAGTTTGATTAGCTGATAAGGAAGCGATTACATTTACTTGCGAATTAGCCTAACCTATAATTTACAGGTATGCCATATAGAAAATTGTAATACCAATGGGTTTCTATGAATGAAGAGTGTAGTTGCGTGTCACTGATTGCATGGGAACTTAAAATTATATATTTTGGTGGTTATTCATAGTGAAAGTAAACGTATATATGGTAACATTCAACGAAGTTTCACGGATATATAGGCAAATATTCCGTGAAATTGGAAGAGTTTCGGCACACTTTCTCACGAAATTTGTAATACTAAGTTAAATGTTTAATTTTTTGTAGAATATATGATTACAATAAATTGTTTTAACGCATGCAATTAGAGATTATGGAATTCGAACAAACGTGCTCCAAAAATGTCTGCATAATTATAACATAAATTGTAGTAAAAATTGTGAAACTTAAAGGATTTCATCAACTGTCGCGTAACACAAACTTTATCAGTTGAAACAATCAAACGGCAATTGTGAACGTTGTTTACAAACAGAGCGAAATGACTTCATTCACGGTCCCAAGGCACCCTCCTCATATTTCTCGGGCGAAGCCCTCGGGATCCGACGGGTAGACAAGCGTAAGATATCCACAGGATCCCGTCCTTGAACTTGTACCCGTCACGCGCCAATAATGGGGACGTTTACCTCCTTGCTCCTTATAGAAAACAGATTTATTCCTCAACCTATTTTCGTCCGTTCTCGATACGAATCTACGTTAAACATTTCCGTGCAAACTTTCAAAGATAAGCTTATCAAGACCGACGGAAAACAAGCGTTTACAAGCGGCCCGTGTAACTCACAATAACGGCGAAACATAACAGGCCGGAGAAAATTGTACAACGCCTCAATGGCCAATTCTACGAAGTAAAAATATAAAATTAAACTAGCAATAGTCTAGCTGGAGTCTAGAGGCAATAAAAACATCGTTAAACCGCGAACGTGTGAACTTTCCCTGTGTTTACACCGAGGTGTTCGTGCAAAGGACTGGTAAAGCCGGGTGCCAAGACCGGGTGAAATATATCCGGTCGTCGGGGAATACGCGTAGACGGGAGGCAGACGGTCCTTGAACTTTACCCGGGTACCCGGCTGGTAATAGAGTGGTTGAATGTGCGTGAAACTATGCGTAAAGCAGTCGTCACATGGCATTTAAACAAATTCACTCCCCGCTTATATTTATTTTCAGAACGTTGCAAAACAAATATATAAACGTAACAATGATGTATTAGTATTCCATTTGGGTTCATTTCAAGGAGTTTTGAATGTCCAAATACCATCATTATGGGCGATCGATGTCTTTGTTAAAGGACGAATATAATATGCCATTGTTTTGTAATATGTATTTGTGTTGTGGGGAATTCTTGAATAATTACTATTTCACGGCCTCGTTACAATAATATGTATGCGTATAACAATATTTTATATGTATAAAAATATTATACGCATTGCTGTTTAAGAATGTTGTGGAGCAGTGCTGAAAAAACTGCTGTTCAAATGTAGTATCAATGGAACAGTCTTAAAGACCCTTGCTATTTGAATCGCCCATGTCACCATGACAAATAGTTAACCTGTCCGGATAACTGTTCGTCCGGCAATATCCATGCCGTTTAGACATGGGACAAATACACACGTAGGTTAGGGTTACTACTTATTCACGCGTTGTTGCCAATAAGCTGTTGTCAGACGATACGTAAAGTCCCTATTTCGCTTATTTAATAGTAAATCTAGTAATTATTTTATTATATATAGCTACCATTCCCTACATAATAATTTAAAAAATACTAGATTTGCTCTTAAACAGCGTCTAACCTACCTAACTACATACGCAAAAAAATTATAATAAATCATAGTTCACTGTAATTTTGTCCCGTCTCTAGTGCCGTTTATGAGCTTATCGATATTCTAGGTCCTGGCACAACTGTGCTATTTAGTTCATGCTTCTCGATTGAAATAGAAAGATATTCAGAATTTTATACCGTAGAAAAGCTATGCCATTTTGGCATGTTTTGGGTCGGCTCGACTGGAATGATACTACATCCTCACAGAAAACTACTACTGGGTGTCCATGGCCGATAATGGTCACTTGCCATTAGGTCATCTGTCTGCTCGTTTGCACTCTATTCCATTATAGTATAGGTATTTATAACGAATAAGAATAGAATTCTTGAAATAATGTCAATAATCATGAATCAAAACTTAGGTGAATACTACGTACAACTTTTCCTTTTTCTGGCCTAAAGGTGCGTAATATCCTAAGCCACTCCTGACAACGCGTGTTCGAAATTTTGTGACGAACGGTTAAGGAGTTTAGGAGAAAGATCACTAATAATGCTAGTCAGCGTATACGGTTTTACCAGCTACGATGCAAATGATAACTATATCCTTTGATAAAGAACTTTTATCGGAGCCGAAGAGATTGGGCATCGTTAAAATACAGAGTACGTGGTTTTAGATTCAGCTCAAGACGTTCCGGTAATGGTTAAGGGTGACAAATAAAGTCTTAAGCTCCTGTATTCTCGGGGACAACAGTCACAACACAACAAGCTCTTTAATGTTTCCTAAGCAATAAATAAATTCTTGACGAAATAATTATGAGGTTTAAATTAGGTTTCTTTCGTAACAAAGCAAAAGTTTCAAATATAACGATATTTTAAACCCAACTCTTTAACATAAAGTTTTTGCAATCGTCAATAGCTGGAATTTCAAAGAAAACTAATAACATCCCGGACCTAGGGCAAGGTAACAAATGGTTATACCCGGTTTAGATCCGTCTCAGACGGGTCACTTCACCCGGGCGGACGATGACCTCATACCGTCCGGATATCGACCTTACGATTAATTGTAACTTGAAAATTTTATTACAACTTTTGCAAATGTCTGAAACTTAAAGTGTCTGGGTAACGTTTTGTTAAAAATGTATAATATTCAAAGAAATGGAAAAACTTACGACTTTAAATGAATACATGAACAGTGTGTGCACTTTCTTTTATGTAAAAAAAATTAATTAAGTTGTGTGAATACATAATATTGGTTTCTACTCCGTAGCAAACAATTGACAGTGTATTCACACGGCTTTATCAGATACCCGGTTGGAAACGTGTCCGGACGATATCCTTCCTAGGATATACGGTCAAAGTTTTATGAATCAGATAGTTAGTTAGTTAAAGTTAATTAAAGTTAGCAATGAAGTTAAATATTTCACTGCGACTTTTTCAATGTCATCGTTTATGTTTTCTACCCCAGTTTAGGTATTAGGTTGTAGGTACTACTTTTAAGAAAAACTTAGTCCATCCGCAACCAAAATAAGTTATATTGAAATATTAGATTACCTCGAAGAGTATGGCAATATTAAATTATTGAAAATATCATCAATAATAAGAAAAATTACATAAAACGCAGTGTAGGCAAGTAGGTACGTAGGTACGTCCACAGGCCAGGTGACGTGTGTGATGTGTGACGTGACGAGTGACGACAAGATGGCTGCCAGGAACTGGATGCGAGAAGCCCGAAATCGATCTAAGTGGCGTGTAATGGGAGAGGTCTATGTCCAGTAGTGGAATGCGATAGGCTGAAAAATTACATTACGTTTCTAGAAACTGATGAAAAATTGTAAATACTAAGAAAAATATACAGTATAATTTATATAATTGTCTTTTAGGTATGGTTTCCTGAAAATAACTATAGAGGTGTATTTTTTGACGCGATTCAGTGATTAAACTGTTACATTTGGTCGCATCGATGCAAACGTAAGATTGTATCGCTACTCGTATCTCTACTAACGCGCGATATCAATACACACGCGCATGTTTTTTACTGAATAGAAAATAGACTACATTAATTACAGTATATGTAGAAGCATTTGCATATACGAACTTAACGAAGTTGCTCTACCTGCAACAGCACCGCGACTGTATCGTAGCCGATTTGCGATTGCATAGCGGCAAAAACGTGCACGACATTCCTGATTTAGCTAGTACATAGTTACCAAATTGGTATAAAGCTTTAATGTGTTGTTCACTATTAATGCTATTTACTTAAAATCAATTCAGTTGTCCCTATTAATAAGACCTTCTGCTCTTGCTCCTAAGTTTTAATTTTGTCGTCGAACTATAAATTGAATAATAATTATATCAAAGATACTACTGCTCTATGCTTATATAATTCGACATTAAAAAATAACTTCTTTACTATTACGTAATTCTCGTTACTCAATTGTTTATTCATAAGCCGTAGTTACGTATTTTACGCATTAGTTTTAAGTATTCTACGTAATGAATTCTAATTGTACTACGCATCTTTTTATAAAATTTACTTGCTTTAAAACCAAGGTTTTTGAAATAAAAACGATTGTGTAGTTTCTTTGTATTATTCTGCATATATCCACAAATACGCAAGTTATATTTAAACATTATTTTGTAATCGATTTCAGTAATCATGACACTAATATGGTGCTTATTGTTTACAGGTCTTACAAGACATCAAGGTAAATATACTTTGTCTTTGTCTATCACATCCTTTCTCGCTCATACTCGTATAGTTATTTTTTTTGCACGTTTCATTTCTTTTTGGTTACCGCAAGCGCCGTGTGACTTGAACTTGAATGACATTTATTTTACTCTTTTTTTTATAAAGGTTCCTATATTCGTAGATCTAAACTGGAATTTTAAATGCATGAGGTCGCATAAGATGTTCACCATCAACAACAACAACAGCCTTTACTAGTCCACTCTCTTTAGAAAGGAGGCTTTGGCCTACTATACCACGCTGGCCAGACGGGTTGGTATAGGGTTTGTGTCAAGTTTTCCTTCTGTTTGCAGTGCCGTTGTCCTGCATAGTTTGCTCCTTTAGTCGGCTCTTACCTTAGATATTTAATGAAATCTATTTCTTAAATACATATACAAGCACGTCCATAATTGTTTGGCAATTTACTGTGCTTGGATTGCTGACATTGCCGTAGTATTGTCACCTAAGTATTGCCAATCTCTTCGGCTACATAAAGCTCTGGTTTACCAGTTCTATACCAATACGTATTGCTGTACAATAATCTTTAAAAAAGTATAAGAGTCTATATTTCAAACAAAATCTACTGTAGTAAATACCCTACCTTCCACTAGAAATGAAGTGAATCATATAATAAGTTTGCCGGAAAAAATTTGTTGTCATTTCTGACTTTTGAACACGCATTGATGCGTTTAAGATATCATTACTTGAGCTGTACCAGTCCAATTGACTAAGAATATGCTATATTCATTGTCATATTATTAAAAAAAGTACTTGAAAAATAAATACTACACTAAACTTTATCAAAAAAATAGTAAAATAAAATGATGACGTTCAAGTTAGATGGCCCATACATTTACATTTTAGTACTTAACGCTTCTTGTTTATGTCACTAATTTTGTAGACAATAGTTTTAGTATGTCGCAACCAACATAGTTTTATCGCTACCACGATAGCCACTAAAAAATTATGAAACGTACTTTTAAGTGGCTTCTCTGTAAAAATGATGTGAAAAGAAACTATTTCTCGTATTTTTTAGTATTTCTATTTAGTATTCAGTAGTTTTAGTAAATATGTGTATATTGCAAATTAAACTAAGATATTTTCTTTGAAGATATCACAGTTATAAAATAATAACACCTTTCTACCAGCTCTATAGTTCTTCGACCAAGCAGTTTCTTCTCATTTTGGAATAAACAAAAGCGTCATTTACACAAACTAAGTATTTAAAATACAATTCAGTTATTCTATAGTATGTACTAAATTTTCTAAATAAATAGTTTAAAAATTTTAAAATACATAGTTAGTAAGACACATGACATCCGCGAAGGTTCGATACGTCGTGAGGGAGGGAAACGAGAGGGGTCGGTCGATGGGTCAACGACCTCGGTAGGATTTTGAACCAACCTCCCTCTCTCATTTATTTATTTATTAAAATATACCTACATTGTTCCAAAGTGGGTGTATAATAAGAAATTTAATTTTCTTCTTACAAATGAGATGGCTAATGCAAGATAGAAATATTCTTTGTGAAGTAAAGTTTTTGATTGAATTTTTCCGTTTATTGTTTTAGAAATTTTTAAAAGGATTTTTACTGTTATGAACACCTATTTTTTATGATAAATTATTTTATACACCTAGAATATTCTGATGAATAAAAAGCCTGTAGAACGCTTTACCTCAGAGCTTAGTTTTTAAAATCTCGTATTTCATAATAATGGTGCTTTTAGGTTTTATAATGCACAGGCAATATAGTACATACAAGGTTTTTAGTCTGCGAAATTCTTTTCTGATATTCTACCTCTCTATTAGTCATTCTAAGTTCCACATTAAAAGATAGAATATATCGTGATTAAAATCTTCTTTTCTAGAGGTGTTGGATAATATGACTGCCTCGTTGGTGCAGTAGGTAGCGTATGCTACTGCTTTGCTGAGGTCTCGGGTTCGATTCCAAGACCTAATGTTTGTATGATCTGCAAATATTTGTCTCGGAGTCTGTGTGTTTTCTATGGAAAATATGTATGTATTTATAAACAATAAGTATACAAGTATTCTATCAGTCAATCTAGCTTTCATAGTACACGCTCTGCTTGGTATAAAACTGGGTGGCATTTTGTGGTAGATGTCACAAATATTTATGAATAATATCTTTAAACAGTTATAATGGCCAGAATCACTTGCCTAGTAGAGCCTATGGTTTGAATTTAAATTGCTAACATAAGTATTAAACTGTCATATTAGGGTTGTGGGTTCGATTCTCACTCAGTACAAATATTTGTATCCGTGAATATGGATTATTCAAATAATCTAAACGTATTAAGTAGATTTCTAACTCTGCTCTAGAGCCAATACGAGAAGCAAGACTTAGTTTTTCTCTAAAAAGCGCTGCATGGCATGTACAAACTAAGCTTAGTTTTTTTTTAAAACAACTTCCGCACTAGGACTAAATCCTGTGTCGCGGGGGACTTTTCAAACATACATGAAACGGACACAAAGAACACCTAGACTCAGAACAACTTTGGGTCTTGAAAGCGCTATATTAATTATATGCACAAGCTATTTTCCATTTAGGATCTAGAAAAAGGTGTGTCATATGTACAAGTTGTACTTAGCTTTGGTATAACTCATCATCATAACAGCCTTTAACAGTCCACTACTGGATATCGGCCTCTCCTATGAAAGGAGTTTTTGTCCTACTATACCACGCTGACCACACGGGTTGGTAAAGGGTTTGTGTCAAGTTTTCCTTCTCTTTGAAGTACTGTTGTCCTGCGTCGACAAGGTACCTAATAATTTGTTTAGAATACACCAAATAACGTACATTATTATGTTAGTTTGGATAAACAAAACACCGTGAGAAGGCAGATCTGCATATATTGGGAATAGGAAGCGTTATGTCCCTGGATATTGTTTAATTTTAGCATAATATATTATTAAAATATGGTCTTTATCCAAAGTTCATATTAACTCGGTTTGGATTAGTACCCAAGACTATTACCTCACAAGACTCACAAAAGCCTTAACACACAATGGTTTTTTGATGTCAAAAATCAACAGTGATTTATAAATACCACGTAACTCCTATTTTACGGTGTTAAAAAACCATTGATAAATTAATAAGGCCATTGATAAACGGTATCAGGACCGACCGAATTCTTATTATCCTCAACGATTACTGCATGCATGATATTGTGTATAATAACCAGGTATATGTACAAACATACACACATAGGAATATACATTCGTATGGGTGTATGTTTGTGCGTACCTATGTGGACCGGACGGAATATCGGACAAATTCATAACCACATATAAACGTATAAATTCCATAATTCCACAGCATAAAGTCCTGTTTCATACACTTTTTGACAGGCATACCGTCCTTCTCTACCTAATAAAGCTATCTCGCTCACACAACAATCGCTATCCAATATTCTATTTACAAAACATTCGGCGCGAGCGACGTTGCCGTCCCGCGCTGCGCTTGCGCCGATGACGTCACGAGCTGGAGTAACGCTGTCCTTGTCGTGGTTTCTCTTTCCAAACAGACCGCATTTTAAACTTGCGCAAAGTTCTATGTAAATATCTTGTAGGAACCTATTAGTATTTAAACAATATAGCAAAAACTAAACTACAGGGTTAAAATAGTCATTATATTTCTCACAAAATTAGTTCCTAATTTGAATTTACTTTTTAAATTATTTTTTAAACAACAAAAACAAATCCTATTATATACTTATTCACATTGTTAGTATGCACATGAGATAAAACGGTCTTGGTTGTCTTATTGAAATAAACAGCAACCACTTAAAGCATTAATAAACTATCAAATTTAATCATAAAGGTTTTTAAAACTATCACTCTACTAAGAACTAAGTACTTGCAATTAAAATGAAAATATACATAGCTTAATTTTAAAACTTTGTGTTATGGGTTTCAGTTTTTTAAGATCATTTTAATAATTCTACATTACTTAAGTGGACTTGAAGCTACTCTTCATAATTATGTACATGTCTACATATCTTTATAGACTATAGCCTTCGGGTCGCTCGCAGCAGACAAAACAGACTTGAAGGAAATATGTCATCGTCCTAACATATTCTATGAAATAATTAGATACGCTAATAATAGTCGAACCATTGTGTAGCAGTACTTTCTACCACATTCTATTGTTATGTTTTGTGTTATATCAATAGCACTTATGTTTATTAAATAACAAAATGATCACGGCAACAACTGGTAATAATTTTGCTTCATTATTTCCATAACATCCGCTCGTGATATCCAAACACGGTGATGCCATAATAATATTGGGACTCCTGCCACGATTTAGACAATATTTAACTATTAATTATTTAGTAAAACGTATGCAATTAATAGTAGTTTCTTTTTTATCATTTACACCACCATATTACATGCAAAAGTCTCATTACATTTGTACAAAGTTTGTTGTGCCTTTCGCGGCTTCACTAACGTGCACATTTTTATTTCGAGAACTTTAAATATTGTTCCAAACTAAAAGTAGTCTAATATACTCCTTATAATATTATCAATCTGTCTGTGAAAGTCCCAAGGGAATTAATCTACCCGTTTTGAAGGTTACTCAATTCAACCAGACAGTTGTCAAATTTTGCCTTTAGTGTATGGGTACAGCAATGCAAAAACATCCACTCTCGATTTATGTTAATACTATCACTTAATACGGTTATCAACGAAGGAATTCCGCTTTATTTCGTTAGATTCTTAAATGTTCTATCATTTAAGTGCCTGAAAAAGAACAAGCTTGTCAGATAAATACGTATACTTAGTAATGTCAGTCACGCTAAAGATCCCCTTTTCCAATGTCTATCCTACCCTCAGTTATGAGTGCTGGCTGCCCCAGTCTTCATGTTTCTAGAGGTAGTCTGGAGATTTCAACTCTCCTTAGCATTTTCTTTCTGATACCAGCAAAATAAGACAATAAAATTTCATGATAATGAAAAC